AATGAGATGTTCAAATTTGGGGATTTGTAAAGCATCTCGTTCTCATAGTTCAGATCTATCCAAAACCGGTCACTCACTAAAGGTTGAAAAATTAAATTTAGGGCTATCAGCCCTGCAATTAAGCGTTCAAGATAACACCAGACATGGACCAACAAGAAACGTGACTACCTGCTTCGAGGATTAGATAGAGAAATCGGCGGTATTTGGCTCAATTATACCTGATCCTTTTTTGTGGGTTTATATAATGAAGTGGAGCTATATTTTAATTATAAACGTTCCTCAGTGGGAGGTCAATGTAAAGCTCATAAAAAAAAATGCCAAACAATTATCAAAAGACTGACCTCAGTTGCCAGCTGTTTTGAAATGCTGTTTTTACAGTAGCAATCTTTTAAAACGTAGTCTCTCTAATTCAATTAACCGGCGTCCACAAGTGCTTTGCGGTCGCCAAGGGCGAGGCGTACAACTTACCTGCATTCTTTTCGCAGCGTCGCCTATTTGTTGGAAACAAAGCATCCCGCCAGCTGCGCAGGTTAATTTTTCTTTTTGTTTAACTGGTTGTACTGTTACTGAAAAGTAAAATGTCCTGCGTCGGAAAAGGGCAACATCTTCTTAACTTCATTAGTTCATTCGAACGTTTGTACACTATTGTAAATCAAGCCATATCTAATGAAATGTAAATGAGGCAGGAGAAACACTAAGTAACAATGTTCTTTTCATTATGTGAACGTATGTTTCTTAGTTTACAGAGATGATTTAAGTCTTTATCTGTTTGTGCGAGCCGGCGTTCTTTTAGTTTTGTTTTTGTCAGAAATGGATGATGTGTAGAGTTTAGTATAGCGATTGTAGAAAATCGACCGTCAGTTTAATTTTTATCAACTAACATTTAGCTCAAAAAAAAAAACAATAAGTAGATAAATTGTTTAGTTGCTTTGTCTTAGAACTTTTAAAAAAACTGTGTCTTTAATTTGTATTTTCGTACATTTTAGTCAAAAAGAGTGGACCCAGGTTTCTGCACTGCGGCCATTCCAGGTACATAAGATGAGCAAAATCGTGATTTTATATATATGAATCGAGAGCCTGTCGGAAATAACGGAAAATCCTCTCAAATCAGTCTCACACGTATCGTCTTTTTAATAAAAGTGACAAAGACAATTTTCATTCTTTATTATTAATTTGTCGTGGTCGTTCATCATAATCAGTTACACGAGTGGAGTATTGAACTGTTATATACAAAATTTTGCTCTCAGCCAAAGGAATCGTTGTTTACAAACCATTGATAACGTGAACGCTAGCCGAATAGATAAGGAGTAACCTGCTGAGGAGCAGAATTGAAACCTCAAAACTCTCGAAAAGACGAGTATATATCTCTTTAATTTCAAGTGACAAAAGTCTTTTTTTTTAGTTAGGTCTTTCATTTGCATCTCCTTAATGTATTTGACGCAATGGTAGCTAAACTGGGCGTCGTCTGCAGCTAATATGCATCGCGTGGCGTTTGACAAAAACCAATTGCCTTCATTCAATCTCACAGACCAAGACTGATTGTCGAATTTAATTGATGATCAGTTTGCTACTAATTTGCACTTTGTGACGACTTTGTTCTTGAGCAACATTTGAGAAATAGGAAGCTTTTGATTTTAAATAAATCGCTTCTCGTGAATCTTTCATAAGTATTCTTTTATACGACATACCTTCCTTAAAGCAAGATTGTTCTTTATCATTGAAATATATTAACTGAATGAAAAACAGTTTATATTAAATCTTTACCACGGTTTTCCGATTGATCCAAAAACAAAGATTATTCTAACAAATTAAAGTAGGAAAAAAATAACAGCGGTTGTCCAGGTTGGTCCGTACAGCAGGGAAAAAACCGAGTCCTTGGCCACGGTTTTATTTTGTAACTACGTTTTCTCTTATGAAAGTAAACCGAAAAACTGCAAGAAAACCTTCAATAACAATCGCACAGAATCAACCTTGCAAAATATTGTATTGGCAATTGGACAATCTAATTGTATTATTTAAGTTATTGGCCCTGAATGACTAACTCAGTCGTGTAATAATATATTGATATTCTGGCGGATTTCCCAACCAGTAGGAATTATTAAGAGACGATCATTATATCGTTTATGTGGTTTAATTCTATTTCATTTTTAACTTGAAATTCTCACTATATTGTAATAAAGTTCATAAGGAATACACTATTTTTTTTGAAAGAACTTTTTACATGACAACGTTAAGGCTGAGATTAACCCAAGTTTTACGAGCACATGAAGAACACCCCTCGGCTGAGAATCACAAGAGGAAGTTTATTTGATTTAATTTTAGAATGGTTGTAAAAACAGTATGAACTCACGTAAAATGTAAAGTTTGAGTCTACTTTATTAATTCAGCACAATAACCAAATGCTTTTAGAAACATATTTTGAAAATAAATGAGTGATTATGTTTGCAGCTTGAGTGATCACGTGCTCAGGGGTTCATTAAAATGCCAGAACGTTTCAGGCTCAAACAGCCGACAAAATACTTATAAAAAACATTCAGCTTCAGTGCGAAACTAACACATTCTGGCAAAAAAAGAGTGATGTACCTTCCTGTTTTTAATAATTTGCGAAAGGTTAAGATGCAATCGCCCTTACAGAGAGCGTAAACCAACGAACTGTTTTATTCAGGTTAGAATAAAAGCAGTATTGCCTTCTTTTTTTTTTCTGGTTTTGTTTTTATTGCGTATACTACAAAATAACCCAGGCGATAAAAGCCATTAAACTATAAATTGTTCATCATGATATTGACAACAGATACGAGACTAATTCCAGATCAACACTATTTCCACACTGATACTGTTACAAATCACCACTACGTATTCTTGCAGGCCATCATATTAAAACAATTTATAGAAATGTTGCACACTTACTTCCGTCTGCTTTCCGCTTGCGAACGGATCGGACCACATTTGTTAAAAGATGCTAAAAGACTGCCACAAACTCACTGCAATAGCTTGTTGCTATTGTGCTAATCACCAGTCTTCTCAGAGCAATTTGATCTAGACAAGAACCGCGCTTCACCAGGGCCAGGTTGAACAAAAGATGGGTAACTTAGCCTGCGAGCAGGCTCTCGTGTTTGGGCCGGGAGCACGCGCGGCAAAGCCGCGAGAAGGCACTCGCTCACATGCCGACGAAAAAAGACACTAGACACTAGGACCTGACACTAGAGACAGATACTAGAGCCTGCTCGCAGGCTATGGGTAACTCTATCCACCCAAAAAGTCACTAACTCTGACTCAGTCCACACGTATCCGTTTTCGGGCAGCCCTAAAATATGGAATCCGGAACCGCAAACCAGAATCCGGAATCCGGAATCCGGAATCCGGAATCCGGAATCCGGAATCCAGATATTATGAATGACGATAGAAATAATTCACTTAAGCGGTGTCTAATAAATAAATATAGGGAAAAATTAATCTGTTGTTATTCATTTTCTTTGCTTTACTTCAGCCACAAATTGTAACTGTTAAAAAATTATTGACTAGTTCTGAACAACCCTTAGCTATACATCTGGCCCGATTGTTCAAGAGGTGGATAAAGCTATCCATTGGGTGAATCACTATCCAGTCAGGGTTAGAGAGTAACCCTTCGGTTCACTTCTCTTGGGATTTTAATTTCGGTGATTCGTTAAAGTTGATGATATCCTATACCAGAAAATGAGTTCGAAACATTAGAACCAAATGTAACATATACAATTTTTATTTTGTGTTTGTTTTAGTTTTCTGAATAAAACGATGAGAAATTAATCATGAATATCGGGTAAAAAAAAACTGTTAATGAATCATGAATCATTGGGGAAAAAAGGCAGGAATCACGAATATCGAAAGTCAAATGATTCCGCTTCCACTCCAGATGATATGTACATTGGTCAACGTCTTGTTTGATTTTTCTCTATTAGTGAAATGGCTTCGAAGAAGATCAAAACAAATATAAATTTAATTTTATGAATTGTAAGTTAATGCAAATTACCAGTGGCGTGAAAAACAGCTAACGTGCTGTGATGCGACTCGAATTTATTCTTCTTAATTCTTCAGATAAGAGATGTGTTGTTTCTGAGTCATTGAAATACGGTTTTTGCTGGAAAATTTACTTTCATGTTTGGGGAAACAGTGGGATAACTTTACGAAATAAGTTACAAAAGCTACAAAATAAAGCAGCCCGTGTTTTGACCTACTCAAACTAATGACGTAGATGCTGGTCACCTGTTCAAACTTTTAGGGTGGAAAAATCTATCACGCTAGCAGCAAATTCAAAGAACTGCGATGGTTTACAAGTCTTTGCACGGGTTGGCTCCAGACTATCTCTGCTCTAAATTCGAAAGGCGAGAAACCGTACATAATCTAAGGGACTTGGAGAATAAACTCAATGTTCGATTACCGCGCACAAACTATTACAAAAATAGCCTTGGCAATTGTGGCATCGTTCTTTGGAACAGCCTTCCTTGTGACTTAGGGTAACAGAGTCCCTGAGGCAATTTAAATGCCTACTCAAAGGAGATGAATAAAATATAAGACACGGCATCCATGGAAAGCAGTTTTTTATTTAATTATATTTATTATATTGGGTATTAGGCATTAGGCATTATTTATTAGGTAGTTTTGGCTGACAAATTTGTTACCGTGTTTAATTAAAGATTATCAAGATCAATTTATCTACAAAAAAGGACAAAAATTAACTTTATTTTTTTCCTAGATCTGTTTGTGCAAACCACGGCTATTTTTATTCCCTCTAGTTGTAATGACTCATTACTGACGTTTGGAAAAAAAATCAACCATTTGTAGCTCGGTTAACGTGTCACCAAAAAAATTCACTCATGTTTACGCTGTGTTGAGTTTGGTCTTGATGTTTTGTTTTTTTTGTTTTTTTCCCTCACATATGAACAAATAGATATATGTAGAACTCACACTTTTTTATGTGCTGAAGGTAACAAAAAGTTGCAAAAAAGAAATAAATGTTCCGCTGACATTTTGACGTGAAAATAGTTAAACAAATTAATTTATCATTGGGGAATAAAATTAGATTGACGACGGAAGGTCCGGATGGAAATTCACTCACATACGTCGATTTAAGTGGAAGCTTGTGTCTTTTTAGTTAAAAGCTTTTACTGCATAGCTGATAAAATTACTTTAATGTAATTGGCTGAGAGCAGCTCAATTTATCATGATGTTTACGCTATTCGTGACGTTTGACTGACTCTATAAATTGCACTCGCCTCTAGGCTCGTGTAATTTTAAGAGAATTTTCAAATAGCACGTAGCGTAGCGTAAATTCTTGGTTGCATTCGCATAAACACAGCACACTCCAAATACATGCCAAGATCATTCAGATTGCATAGCAGTAGTTGCCATTCTCCTTGCCTCCCCGTTTTGTGATCGGAATTGGCATCGTATTCTTGGTAAGAAAAAACGCTATTATAAACAGTGTTGAACTGAATTGTTCAGTTGTCATCGATGAGATTGTAAAAGTGCACTTTCTAAGGTGTCTAAGTTACCTTTCCCGAAAGGAAATTCACTTTCAGATTTGCTAGGGGAAAAATTTCACACAAGGGAAGTAAACAAGGGGGATTATTTGTACAAATTGTGCGCTTTTTCAGGAAATGCTGAAAGAGCTAAGTTCCGGATAAATAATACTGACAATTCAAACAATTTCCTTACTTACTGTACCTGTGGAAAACGTGTCAAAAGTTCTATCAGTAAGTCACGTCGACAAAAATGTATACATTTGTTTTCTTTTCATTCAATGCTTTATAGCAATTTTATGACAATCTTTTACTTTGTGCACTTCACAGTGAAATTTCTGTGTTAGACCAGCTTTATGGATGGTTTCTATGTAATTGCTGAAGTTAATTGTTTTTCGTTGCCTAATAGTGCTCCGGGCGCCCCAAATGTCTCAGACTTATCGTTTATTCTGTTTAAAACTAATGTCTTCTTGTCGAAGGCAAATTAACCTGTTTCATTCTACAAATAATAACCCTCATGGGTTTGTGTTTGGAATTTCTCATCTAATTTCAGCAACTGATCCCGATTATATGGTAACCAGTTTTAACAACAAATTTTCAGGATCTACGATTGAACCGAGGCACTGTTTCGTGGTAAGGCGACCATTTTGTACTTGCCTGCTCGATTTTATGCGGTTAGGTTAATATAGGAAACACGTATAATTAAGGAGAAAGGCGTATTGAATTACGCTTTTTTTAGCAGCGTAGCTTGTGTTGTTACCAACACATTCACGTCTAGGATGAATTACCATACATAATCATGTCAATTTAGCCACTGGTTATTCCTTTAGGGCAGTCATATCGCTTTTTAAATTTCACATTTTATATGTCCGGCCTTTTATTTTCACTTGCATCACTATAATTCTCTATAGTATGTCAAGGCCTTCTCCTTATAAATTGTGTCCACCAAGGTATTCGAATTGCATTAACCCCAGTGCTTGACATTTTATGGTCAACAGAGGTAAAATTGCATTCCAAAAACTGTCAAATAAACTTCAAATTTGTATTTCTGCGCGTCAAATTGAGAGGCGTATGTGACTGATAGCACGTCACTGTTAACAGCATATAGTGTGAGATTCATACAAGGAAATGTCCAAAAGCTAAACCGCACAGCTCTGTATGTACTATGTCAGGTCAGTAACGTTCCTTTGTATGGACTCGCTTCAAATCACAAAACTGGCAAACGTGCCACACTATTTTTCTATACAGTCTCATTTATAAATTCGAATTGAAATTTACGTTGTTTGCTTTTGGAAAAAATTAGAATTTCTGACAGCAGCTGTATTTGTCTAGTTTTGGAAAGCAAAGTCGTTGACGCTAAAATTATCGGTTCCCTGAGTTCTAGAAAAGTAAAGCTCCTAACTGGAAGACATATTAATAACAGGTAGGCTTACAAAACTCTTAGCATGACTTACCTTTCGGCTTCAATAGTAATCAGGTTTGGTTTTTTTAATTCACCCTGCAAAACAGCAGCTGTACACGTTATGTGATGTTATTAACTGGGAGATGCAATTCGTAGGGGACGTTCTTTCCAATAAGATCTAATTTAACGTCTTCATTTTAGGTCAGGAGAAACAGAAATGATTTAAAGGACATATATTACACCAATCAGGGCAATACAGTTTAAAACAATAGAAAACTGCAAAAAAAATGGCTTAAAATAGTGAGCTGTCAGCTTGAAAAAACGGAAACCGAGCGGAAATTAGAATTTATTACCTGTTCCATGTCACTTCCGCTCAGATTTACAGATTAAAACTTTGTTTGAAGGAAATTAATTTTTTCCTTCAGGAGATGGTCTGTTTTTCGAGGTAAACGACCGACATCAATTTAGAAATTCACTCCATATGACCTTTCCTAACGTTTAATTTAAGAAAAGTGTCAAAGCCAATGAGGTGTCGAATCCAAGCGAAACAAAACGACAACAATACGATATGCGACCCTTTTATGTTTTCATTTTAAAGATTCTGTTAACCAGGAAAGTGTACGTTGTTACAAAGTTCAGTTCAATTTAACTTATTCTGAGGTCTTTAAATTTCACACTTCGATCCTAACCAATCCCCGGTAAACTTGATAAATTTGATAGGTTTTACTTCGATGTTACCCTATCCTAAATTTCCAATGCGATTCTTGCCTGTTATTAGCTCGATGAATTTCACCTCTATCTGTTGTTTATACAAGCTGGCAAAAGCAAGGGAAAAAATTCAACGACGTCCAAGTAGCTGGGATCGCAGCAGGATTCCAATGTTCTGAAGTCACTAACATTTGATGTTTTATTTGCTTATAAATCACTGAAGGAATCACGAGCCGAGTACGCAAGAAGGTAAATCATGCAGCTTGCAGTAATCACCTTGATGTTAGTTGTTGGCGATATCTTGATGATCTGTGGACGGTCACAATCGATTCACTATCAAGGTAACATAATCGCCTATTCCCCTTTTACGGGAGTCTCCGCACTGTTCAGGAGAATATCAACACATATGCCACCATTAAGTTACCCGGTAAAAAACGAGGCACTCTATTTTTAATACTTCAGACTTTCATGAACCTCAGCGAAAACATATGCTGCATATAAAATGGTTTTGTTCGACCTTAAATTGGGGGAGTTGAGGGTAGGGTCCCCGATGACCTTTACAAAGCAGGGGCGTAGCGTCCATATACGCACGTACGCTCGTGCGTACAGCGGAAATATGGAAAAATATTTTTCTTATTCCCTGAAAGTTTTTCAAAAATTACCATAAAATCGAGTCGATTTTTAAATTTTGAATTGTTGTCTGTGTGTGTAAGTCTCTCCAGTACCTTTTCATAAAATCCATAAACGGCGAGAAACGTAATAGTGGAGTGACAACAAAAGCAAAAAATTCTACTCTCAACGGCCCCCACACATGTAAACGTTGTAAACCCTCGGTTTGTTTTACCCCCTGTTTTTGTTGTGGCTTGCCGAAAACTCTAGAGATGGGTTAAATAAAGAACTAACTACTGCATTTTCCCTTGCATTTATGTATTGAAATGTCCCTCGGAAATTGCAGAAAATGACATTGCCGAGACCTCGAATTTCAAAATTTTCCGGGGGAAGAACCCTAGTTACGTTTGAAGCGCCTTCACGAATTCGAATTTTATTCTTGTGCCTACACCTTCTCAATCTCACGCTACGCCCCTGCTTTCAAAGTATCGTGTAGACATACAAACCTGAATGACCATACCAATCTACACAGCACTTTTATGACGCTACCAAACTAATCCTTCGCATTTTCTTGTCAGTCCTACCCCTACCCCTCCTCTTGATGCCCATATTGAGGTATAACTTTCCTGTTGCAAGCCACCTGCTAAAACACATAAGCGAGCCATTAACAGACTCTACGTGCTAGCACATATTGAAGTAGGTTAATGCGGTCAGTGTTGAATTAGAAAGGCAAATGCTATGCAGGTCTGAAAAAAAAAAACAGAGAGAGAGGACCTTGATGTTATTTCAATCATAGTCTTTTTGTAAACGTAACTTGATACTTTTCAAATTGTGAGGTATTTAAGGCTCGTAATCAGAATGTGTGAATTTCCAATGTATTTTGTTCTTTGTGCGACTTCACGTATCGCGCAACAACTTCTTAAAACTAATTTTGCATGATTGTCGTCTTCGGGGAAGAAATGCAAATTAAGGGGACTTTGCTTTTCCTCACTTTGTGATCTGTGACTTAGTTTTGTTCGCTATTTTTCATTTGCATTAAAAGTCAGAGGTAAGTCTTCAGGTTTCGTTAGTTTTAGAGCACGTCATACTCAAGCACAAACTGGCTACATGTGTAATAATTTTCAATTGTAACAGCAGAACAAAAACGTTTGATATAACTCCTACGTCCATGCGGTGAGTATTATGGTATTTTTAGGGAAGAATAACCGGTCATATCATTTTGAATCAAGTAGATTTAGCTGAGCCTATCAATTTAAATCTAAACTTTCTCTATGCTTTAGCGTACCAACTTTACCTGTTTGCTTTTTAGACGAAGGAAATCAGCTTTCCCTTCATATTAATGGCGACATAATTCTCGGGGGTCTGTTTCCAGTTCATCTCCGCAGTGACAAGACTGAAAACGCGTGCGGTGAATTAGACCTTCTTCCAGGATACCAATATCTCGCCTCAATGCTGTTTTCTTTGGAAGAAATCAACAAAGATGACCATATTCTTCCAGGCATTACACTCGGAGCTAAGATTTACGACACTTGCCGAAGTCAAACGATTGGTTCCGATGGCGCGAGAGAAATAATAAAATACACACTACGTGAGGACAATGACACTGCACCGTTATCAGGCGTCGTTGGACCGTTTCGAAGCGATGTGTCGGTGGCTGTTGCTAATTTGCTTCGCGTTTTTGATATTCCTCAGATTAGTTACGGCTCGACAACCCCAGTCCTTAGCGATAAAGATCTGTATGGCTACTTCTTGCGCACTGTTCCATCTAACTCCTATCAAGGGAAGGCAATGGTGGATGTTGTTCGTTATTTCGGTTGGAGCTATGTGATGACTGTCTATTCCCCGGGGCAATATGGAGAAAAAGGAATGGAGAAGTTCTACGAAGAGGCAGAACGCGCGGGACTTTGTATTGCAAACAAAATTAAACTTCCTGCATTTCCGACCGAAGAAGACTTCATTAACACCATTCAAGAACTTCTAGAAATAAGGAAAAAAAATTCGCGCGGTAAACTAGACGTTGTTGTGTTGTTTTGCATTCAGCGAGATAACACGGGTTTGGTCCAAGCAGCCAACAAAGTACTGAAAAGTGGTGAAAGACTTTCGTGGCTTGCAAGCAATTCTTGGGGAGACAGAAAGCAAGTTACTGACGGATCTGAAGAAGCAGGCGAAGGCGCACTTACAATGAATTACATTGAAGGCCAAGTTGATGCGTTTAAGAAGTACTTTTTAAACTTAAAACCCTCTAAAAATATCTCCGATCCCTGGTTTGACGAATTTTATCAAGCAACTTTAAAATGCAAGCTTTCAACTTCTTTAAGGTCACTTGATTTTCCACGTGAATGTTTAGCAAACGAGTCTCTCCCACAAGACCTTGAGATCGGGCCTGTACGCGTGGTGATCAATGCGGTCTACGCCATGGCGCATGCGCTTAACAACATGCATAAAGCGCTGTGTCCAGGACAACATTACCTCTGCACTGAAATGAAGAATCTAGAACGGGAAGAGTTTCTGAAATTCTTAAAGAAAGTGTCTTTTCCAGATGCGTCTCTTAACATTAACGTGACTTTCAATCAAAATGGTGATGTGGATGGAAATTATAACGTTTTGAATTTCAAAAAAGTCGATGGAAAACACCGACATGTTATTATTGGAAACTGGAGTGGTGAATTGAACAATGATGGAAACATCGAAGGGAAAATACAATTAGACACAGGCGAGATTTCGTGGGGCGGAGGAAAAATCCTCACTCCGGAGTCATACTGCAGCAAGAACTGCCCAATGAAACAAATAACGATACCAGAAATTACCAACGCCCGCTGCTGTTGGCGATGTGATGGCTGCAGCTCTAACCATGTCATCGTAAACAATACGTGTTCTTCGTGCGGGGAAGGAAAAGTGCCAGACACCAACCTCACAAAGTGCTTCAAGCTGCCTGTTGTTTACCCTTCTTGGACAGACACTCCTGCCCAAGTCCTAACAGCTCTTATAGCGATTGGTATCACTGGCAGCATTAGTGCAGCAACATTCTTTGTTTTACGAAGAAATCACCGCGTTGTGAAAGCGTCTGGACGAGAGCTAAGCATTATTTTATTCGTTGGAGTGATCTCGTGCTACACTGGCGCATTGTTGCATTTCCTCAAACCTGAAAAAACAGTGTGTGGCGCCATGCGCTTCTTAGACAGCGTTTCCATGACAGCGTGTTATGCACCTGTGGTTCTGCGGACAAACCGCATCTATCGCATTTTCAAGGCCGCTCAAAAGTCAGTTCGTAGACCTTCTATGGTGAGCCCGCTGTCACAAATGTTTGTGGCTCTGGGTATTATCGGTGTACAGTGTCTCATAACTATGATTTGGGTATTATCAAAACCACCAATGGCTGTGGAATATTACGGGTACGAAGATCACGTGATTCTCGAGTGTAGCACAGACGACTTTAGTGTAGCTATTAACTTGTGTTTTAACGTAATTTTAATGTTTGTTGCAACAGTGTACGCATTTCAAACCAGGAATTTTCCCAGAAATTTCAACGAAGCGAAATATATCGGCATTACAATGTATATATCATGTTCTGTGTGGGTAATATTTCTACCTTGTTACTTAAATGCTGCTGATAGTGTTTGGAAATCGTATTTCTTATGCAGCTCACTTTTTCTCATTGGAACTGTAACACTCTTAGGACTTCTTGTACCCAAGATTTTCCTTGTGTATTTTGGCAATGCAGTAGATCCAACTGGAGACACCACGCTGACAGGAACTATGGACAATCAAAGAAGAAGTAAGCACAAGCTAGATCATACTGTGGCGTCTACAAATTAAATCTTTTAGAATAACAGTAAAACTACTTCTCAAATGTATCATGCACGCGAAAGATTTATCAAGATATTTTCGAAATCTAATTTCTAACCGGCGTCGAAGCACAGAGGACTAAAATAAAAAACAATTTATTCAATTTCGCATCTCAACCTCGATTTTGCTTCTTTTGTTTTATTTATTTATTTTTTTTTTGTTATTATTTTTTATTATCATTTGCAATAACACAAGAGAAACAATATTTACAATATAATTACAAACAGTACACTCTCTAGACTACTTACAGCACTAACTCTATTTACATTATATTACTCTGATTATTTACACTATTTAAGGTTACTTCAAACCTTCGCGGGGCTATATTGGTCGATTTTTTTTGGGTCAAGAAAATTAATGTCCGCGAAGCACAAGTTTGCATACTGTGAACGCCAGGGGTTCTGTTATTTCATTGGCTCGCGGTTTTCAAGTTGACACATTCCTCTGTGAAGGCGTGATATGTTTATAAATCTTTAGAAGGCGAAAACTCGCACTCGTTTTTCGAGAGAACCCCCGCTCTTTAAGTGAATTAATAGGGTATGCAGATTTGACGGTTTTCCATGAAATTTGGTCAGAACATTCACTGATAGATGTGGAACAAAGGCGTGTCGGCGAATTCCTTTATTTTAAATACTTTCCTCGTGGCGGCCTTTAACGTAACAGGTTACGCGAATTTTTCGATAGTCGAACTTGACAGATCTA